GATACGGATCACAGATTACGCAAGTATCTGCAAGTAACAGGAATTCGCGTCGCGCACCTGTGAAACACGATGATCAGACGCCATCAGCGAAATTCTTTCAGTCGAACGTGCGCACTTACAAGAAGGAAGATTCCGCTCGGGCTGTGTAATTTCGAACGTTTCACTTATTTAATGATATCGGAACGCTGTTATAATATTTGTTGTAACATGTTATTGTGTTGATTCGTGATTCGCGGAAAACACGCGCTAGAGTAATGTATGCTAACGAGTCTTGAGTCTTGTGTGCTTTTATCACAAATAAATTACACGTTAGGCGCGAGAAGTTAACGATCAACAAACAAACAACCAGATCCGTCGCGGAAAAAAAATAACTCGTAATTTTCTTCAGATTTCCTGTTTTGCGCACGTTTTTTCTCAACGTCGCACTACAAGTCGCGCGCAGGAAAACTATAAAAATAATAATAAATAAACAAAACAACTATATATAAAAATAACAATAAATAAACAAAACAACTTTATAAGTTGTTTACAACGCTAACAACGCGCGCGTACATATTTTTCGAGTATTAGAAACGCGCTCAAAACGAAGAGCGTTAGATTCTATCAAAAAGCGCGCGGAACAATCGCGTGAATCCAAGCTGGAAGTCGTCGACGACAATCCTCGGTCGTTCCGCGCCGAGCACTTGGAACGCTTACGGTATATTTAAAGTACGGTATTGTGTGTACAAAAAACCCCTCCTGACGAACAGGACAGAAGTACCGGCGCGTCAGGTGCGTGTATTATTCAACGTCAAAAAAAGCAAAAAAAAAAAAAAAAAGAGAATAAACAAAATATTGCGTCGCGCACACACACGTGTACACATAAAAAAAAAGCGAGGCGATTCATAGAGCGTGAAAAAAAGCCGAGGAGCGTAACCGGCGACATTGTCAAAAAGCGCGACGGTAGAATGTCTGGTCTGAGAGAGCGCGCGCGCGCGCGATTCTACGGGCGCGTTTTCTAGGATGGATCAATATATATGGTAATGCGGGGTCGGTTATACCGTCACATCAGCGGGTCGACTCTTAACGTTTCGCATGCGTGTTCGTAACTGTATTATGTATGCGAGCAGTAGTACATGCTACGTGACCTCTTCCGTATACATTTAATAAACATATTAAATGTCGGTACCGCGACTCGCGGAATATTTAGACGCGCGTAACATAGCGACACGTGCGTGTGTATTTATCTGCATATTAGCTCGCCGGGAATTAAGATAAGAGATACAGTTGTGTGATAGCCGTGACGGCCTCTCTCTCTCTCTCTCTTTCCCTCTCTCTGTTATTCTCTCGTTCTCGCGCTGAGCCACGTAACCATCATGACAAAGCGAAAGAAAAGCACGTTCATATGGATGTTGCTCATGGCGCCATAATACATTCAACATACGCGGATGTGTTAAGCGTATACGAAGATAAAACAGAGCATCAGTTTAATGAGGATGAGAGAGGGATTAAATAAATCTGTTGGAAAGATAGCAATTCGTATCACGATTTTTTTTTTTTGCACGAACAGCTAAACTTTTTTACGCGACGTATGAGCGTAACAGATGAATTCATTAAACGCTGCCGTGTATGGGTTTTTGTTCTATATAAATAGTCACAAATTACAGTGTATTTGTTAAGAAACATTATTTTTTTATTTTCAAGAACACGGTTCAAACTTTTCTTAACTACATTAATGAAAACAATTAGGGCAAAGTTTGAACTCTGAGGTTTGGGACACAAAAGTTTAAAAATAGTCCCGAGAGACCGTCGGGGGGTAACGTTTAAGGGTTAAAAAGAACGGTCGCTTATATGTGGTGCCCGGAAATGTGCGCGCGTTCGATGAATTCGGAGAAAGATTTTAGTCGCATCGAAATTTCACAGTCGAGACGGCAGAAAATTAAGCGAGTCGCCGTCGTTTCCGGCCGTCGGGGAAATCTCTTGGTGAAGAATAAAGCCACGTAATCGGACTTATAAAGTTACGAGTGCCTTTGACGAAAATCTCGAGGGACACTTCACTCGCGGCCTGTTTTAAACGCGATGCATTTAATTTTCTGCCTTATATTTAAAAGTTGTGGGTGTATAAAGGACCGGAATCACAAGTGAAATCAAAGGTATTGGGGGGAGGAGGTTAAAGCAAGTCTCTCACTTTTCGAGCGCGAACTCGCGTATAAAATGAAAATCCAACTCGATTTCCGTCTTAACTCTTATAATCTTCACCACGTGCGCTTTGACCCCGTGCGTTCGACCTCTGTTATAAAATTAGCTCGTCGATTTTGAAATTTCGACATAAGCCTGTGAAAATAATTAATAAAGTTGTAATTTTTTAATCGATTAGTTTGGTGTGCGTTGAATTGAAAATTGTGCCAGAGAGAACTCTCAATTTTTATACGCGCACTTCTGAGAGATTTCAGAGAGAAAACTCCTCTCTCCGATTATACATCGAAACTCGGAAAATCAGGTGCGAACTTCGCCGAGAGTAAAACTCAACTACATCTACGCGGATATTATTTAATGCGATGATGAAATATTTAGTCGGTATATAATATGCAATTAGAACCTCATTCATCCGACGTCGACGACATTGTATGCGTGTGCAAGCAAATTTACGTAGCGCGCGCGCGCGCGTGTGTGTGTGTGTGCAAATGCGAGGTCATTTCGGTTCTCAAAGTGCACCACCGGACAGTTAATTAGCTCATCGCCTCTCTGCCGAGTATAAAGTCTCTGACTGAAATACCGTGGCGTTCTTTTTCGGCGTTCGTCGTGTACAACGACGTGCACGACACGCCGCACGCATAACGACAATCGCGAGTCGATTTAATTTCGATTTTGGAAAATATGCGTGCTCGCGCGTGCGCGCCAGTAATTAGCTATAAAAGAGGCATAAAACGCGTATTCGCTTAATATAGCGACTAGTTCTCGTTTTAAATACCGCACGATAAAAAAACCTAAGTTATTTATAGATTATTCTTATAAATATACGTAACTTGCTGTTTTTTTTTTTTTTTTGCTCTCTCTTTTTCTCTCCAATGTCTCGACACTTAAACGTAAAAATTTTTTAAGAGACGTAAAAGATTCCCATACCGATCAATAAAAAACAAAAAAAAGTGTCGTCGAAGATTTAACGAGAATATGTGGTACTCAGGAGAGAAGGCGAATCTTTCCTCATCAGAGGAAAAATGAAATTCGAAACGCCTTAGCGCCTTGTCCATAAACGCGCGACAGCTACTTTTGGATTCGCGGCGTTACGAAAATAAATCTTGTCCTTCTTTCACTCTCTCGGTCGCTTTCCTGGTAAGCCTTTGTGGCGTTAATAACGAACACGAAGAGAAATTACACCTGGGACATCTTTACGATCGAGATCCGATGCCGAAGAAGCGCCGGGACCGAAGATCAACGACACACAACACACATCGCGCGCGAACAAACACGTCGCACATTGCGAGATTCAATAATCAAAGTCTATTTGTCATAATTCTTTTTGCAAATGTAATCCAGTTTATTAAAAAAAAATTCTTCGCGCGCTTATAAAACACGTCAGCGGAATAAAAGCGGCTGCAAAAAGAAGCTTGATATCTCACGGATGTTCGAACGTGTAATTCAAGAGGAAAACGATCGCGATGCGCAACGATCGTATCGCGCCTTCTGCAAAAAAATATTATACATACATATATACATATATAGAAATCCGCGCTCGCGAGCGCTGCGTTAAAATGTTAACAAGTAGTATATCATTAAACTATATACCGAACATGCGCTAGAGCGTCGCTAAAAATAGCGCACACCGGAAAATGTTAACGAGTTCGCGAGCGCGCTCACATATTTTCGCGGTCGAAACAGGGGAAGAGAAGCGGTCGTGTTGGAGTTTTGCGCAACGATTTACGAGCTAATATATTTACGTATCGATTTACATGCGCGGAGAATTCACGCTCTTCGAGATATATATATATATACAGGGTGTCCCAGAATTGGTTTAACATCGCTCGTAGGCAGGTAGAAGGAATAAAACTGAGGTGAAAAGTCCTATACCATTTTGCTAGATTCGCAATAGTTAC